AACAACAACAACAACAACAACAAAAAACACTTTCCCGAGTCTTTATTAACTACTTACCGCCTTGCAATAGCGTAGTGACCGGAGTCGTGATTCCCTCGGCAGTGGTAGGTGTGGTGACCGGAGTCGTGATTCCCTCGGCAGTGGTAGGTGTGGTGACCGGAGTCGTGATTCCCTCGGCAGTGGTAGGTGAGGTGACCGGAGTCGTGATTCCCTCGGCAGTGGTAGGTGTGGTGACCGGAGTCGTGATTCCCCTCGGGCAGTGGTAGGGTGTGGTGACTGGAGCTGTGCTTGTCTTCACATTTGTTGTTGTTGGTGATGTAGGGATCACTGAAATGTTTGAATAGAAAGCCGAGCAGTTCAACTGTGCATCCTATTTACCAAATGCACAACTAGAGTCCCAGTCCCTGTGCTTACGTCTGCATGATACAAATTGATAGCTAAGTACAAGCAGACTTTTTTTAAAGATGTGGACACCACGATATGTACAATATATACCAAAGACGACAATTGCTAATCTTAGAATGCACTTCTTACACTTCTTCATTCGGACACAATAATACGTTATTATATATATATATATTAGTGGCCAGACCCTGTTGCCTACAGAATAGAGGTACAAAACCTGTCTCGATATGTACTTACCAGTGGTGACGCCAGGAGGCGCTGCCGTGGACAGACAGATGCCCCATGGCCATGCCAGACCCTCCACCAGGACAGTCTTGGTCAAGTCTGACTTGGATAACCTGGGGGATTGAAACACAGCAACTTATTGTGTCTGTTTAAGTATGGATATATGTATTTATGCATACGCCTAAATTATATCCATATGTATGTATGTATGTATGTTTGTGTGAGTGTGTGTGTGTGTTTGTTTGTGTGTGTGTGTGTGTGTGTGTGCGTGTGTCTGTGTGTTTCTCTCTCTCTGCGTGTGTGAGCGTGTGTGTCTGTGTTTGTTTGTTTGTGTGTGTGTGCGTGTGTGTGTCTGTGTGTTTCTCTCTCTCTGCGTGTGCGCGTGTGTGTGTCTGTGTTTGTTTGTTTGTGTGTGTGTGTGTGTGTCTGTGTGTTTCTCTCTCTCTCTCTCTCTGCGTGTGTGTTTCTGTGTTTGTTGTTTGTGTGTGTGTGTGTGTGTGTGCCTGTGTTTGTTTGTGTGTGTGTGTGTGTGCGTGTATGCGCGTGTGTGTCTGTGTGTTTCTCTGTGTGTGAGTGTGTGTCTGTGTGTGTGTGTGCGTGTGCCTGTGTTTGTTGTGTGTGTGTGTGTGTGCGCGTGTGTGTGTCTGTGTGTTTCTCTCTCTGTGTGTATGTGTGTGTGTGTGTGTGTGTGTGTCTGTGTTTGTTGTGTGTGTGTGTGTGTCACCGCATGAAATCCCTCGTTTCCGTCTGAGAAATTGTCGAACACTTTCCCGGAAGCCGTTCCTAAATAGACAAGCATTGCAAGCTATATACACTAGCTTATTCTTACCCCACATACACCACTATAGTGCAATATTGGACCAGGAGGGAAGGGTCACATGGATGAACAGCAATTCATCGGGCACGTTTACCACAGAGACAAGCTGAAGCCTTGAGCACCGAAGTAGCTACCGCCCGAAAGTCCCCAAACCCCCTGCTAGTAACTTCACAGGGGAAGAGCGAACCGCTCTCGAAGATTTGGCCACCAATCAAGTTATAGTCACGTATGAGCTTTCTAGCCAAGATTTTGGGACCACTAGTGGGGAAATCCCAGCATCATGTTCAGAATAGTCCTGATTTTTGTCAACAAAATCAAAATTTAAATAGAAGATGATGAAACCATCACTTCGTATGACGTGTGCTCACTTTTAAGTGTGCTCCATACCACCAAAGGGAACAGAAAATAGCTTTGCTATATTGCTACTAGTTTTTTTTCTTATGACGGAACTAAAAGAATGTACTTTTTCTGTTGATAAAAAAACATGTTTTTAAACATCATGAACAGTTACATAAGACAGGTATTGTTTATGTAAAACGAGTAGTTAGCCCCAAATGGAGCCTTTTATATGCAACGAAACAAAGGTGTTTATTCTCGGTACAAAGACCACATGGCCGAAGGCTACACTTGAAATACATTCGTGCAATTTTGACATCCTTTTAAAGCGATCTTAGTATTTACACAAATGTCTCCGTCCCTGAGGCGTCGCCAAAAACCAACAATAAAAGTAGAAAACTTCTTAAACGTACATGCAGTGAAACACATCTTTTGTGAGCATCAGTTCATGTTACTAAACTGTGATCAAAATATGAAGCAGAAGGTCCGTTTTCAATAGCTTCCGGACGATATAATGTACCCCAAATGGTAATGCACATCAGGGTAAAGATTCCGTACCCAGTGTTATTTTCAAGTTATAGTTTACCGGAATAACTATCACACAAAGGACGACGGGATTATTTGTGCATACTGAGGTCAGGCGTGGAAGCCCTGGGGCGCTATTACGGAACACCGCCGCGAAACGATCGCTATTATTGGCCAATGGAGCCGGGGACTAAATCCGTGGTTAATACTTATCCTAAGTCAGTACAAAACCAACTTGAAGGTAACCTAGATGTAATCCACCTCCTACTAAACAAACATTAGCCATGTTTACAAATTAAATACACTTAACACTTAATACAACATCTTGCAGAAGAAAATGACATCAGCAGGGAAATTTGTACATTAATGTTTACTAGATAAATCGGATTTTCTTACATTCCGACCTTCCCTTGCCATGATGAATCATACCATCGAGACGTCCAGTAGACGTAGTTCTCGTCAACAGCAATCCCCTGCACATACTTCCCGGATTCATACAGCAGTTGTTGGATATCCTTACCCAGCAGGTCTGAGCTGTACATGCGGTCATCATCAGAGTAGTACAGCCGGTCCTCTAAATGGGAGAAATAAACAAATGATTTATGCACCCATCAATGTGAATACTGCCACTGTTGAGTAACACTACAGAGACAGTAGACGTGCACATAGATAATATCTTACACCAAGGACGTTCAATCATGATTGAACGTCCTTGCTTACACATAGTACATATTTATTTAAATCACTCCTGCCCTCATACAATACAATAAGTCAGATAACACCGACCTACTAAAGAATGCATTTCAGAATGTTCCTTCAATAATTCTTTTCTGTATAAATAAGGACATTAGTAAATTATTTATTGCGGTGTTGTTTTCTTACCTCTATAGTCTATTGTAACGGCTGTGAGATAAGACACGCCCGTGATGATGGTGGTTGGGTTACTGCCGTCCATCGCAGCACGGACAATTCTGTCATTAACCCAGTCCGCCCAGTACATGAGTCTGTGAAAGGAGTCAAGCAAACAAATTAAAACCTCTTATCTCCACGAAATGTTTATATATGTTTTTAAGTGGTGTTTTATTGTACAGTATCATTAATATAATTATTACCATAAATGATATAGATTAATCATAATGATAATATAACCCACAAATTTCCTACACACCGATGGTCTCATCTACATAAAGCACATATTTGGCAAATTGATAGGTCACAACAAAACGATTTAATAGGAAAGTAATATCATATTCCAGGAGTCCGGAACATCGGATCAAAGTTTATTACAATTATGATTGACAATTAGGATCTTAATAAAAGTTTGCACTATATGACGTATTTAAAACGGTGACTGGTTGAAACGCATCGAATTTACAAACGTTAACGTACACAGCCCTGTACCCATTTATGTAAAATGCCTGATTTTGAATGTATTTTACTCACCCATTCCTGGGGTCCAGGACCAGGTGCCGAGGACCGCTGACGGCTGGTGACGTCAGAAGTGTTCTAGTTGACGATCCATCCATCTTTGCTACAGAGATGGTCTGTCCGTTATAATCCGTCCAGTAGATATCCCCTCCAGCGTGGTCCAACGCCAGGCCAAGGACAGCTGCATAAAAAAAGTGAGGACGTTTTGTAGAAAAATATGTTTGAAAATGCACACGTCAAGAAGATTTTGATATACATACATGTACTATATAATAGAAAATTCTTATATACGGAACAGTTCACGACAACATCGAAGTAAACACAGTAAGATTTCCCAATAATGCCGGGGTCACACCAATAAACGTTTCCTTCTTACAAATAGGCTCCCAGTCCAACCTGAGATATCCTTAACATGTCACAGACAAAACAACCCGTCTGAAATATCCCGATAAGGTTTATAGCGGGAAGCCATGTTCACAGTTACTTACTCCAGATGCCTATTTGGAATAACAACCTGTTTTGGATTCCAAATCTCTAATCTGTATTCTTTGAATAAAATATATTCATAAATGCAAAACAAAACACAGATGTGAAAAAACAACACAGAACTGTATTTTTCAGCCAACTTTTCTGCCATTTCAGCCATTGTATTAAACAACATTTGGTTGACAGATGGGGTCCGCCCATACCGCTGCTTTGATTGTAAAATTACAAAATTATGAATATCATAGTTTAATCACAGTAAAAACAAGCATTGTTGAGAAGTTTGGAACGAAAGAAAAAAACAGTGACTACGAAGCCTCCACCAGTATTTTAGATTTTCCTAATCAGATATACGAATGATTCTCCGATGGACTTTTCCAGAGGAACACTTACTTAACAAGGAGGCCTACAGTTTTAAGTTCTATCCCGGCGCAACTAACAATAAATAGTATTGATTAAAAAACGGTGGTGACCACCAATATTATCATCAAAGGCTAGGTTAGTACATACATGTACATATATATATTGAACGTAGAAAGAGACCACTTTTAGGGATTTCGGAATAGCTTCGCTATCAGCAGCATGCTAGCAGGTATGTTCGATCGGGTCATTCTATTGCAAAAACTTTTAAAATGAGTTTTAGGACCTCAACATGATTTGAGACCTCAGTTTCACGTGTAGGTCGACAGGAAGGCATAGCATATACTGTTAAGGCTTAGTTTAAACGTTTCCACTCGCATTTCTCTTGCGTTTGCATGTGGTTAATTTCTTCTCTCTCCGCGCTCCCGACGTGCGTGTGCAGCCGAAATATGTCAAAAGAGAGGAAAGAAAGATGGGGGTAGGAAATATATCAGGAGAGAGGAAAAAAAGACGGGGATAGGAAATATGTCAGGAGAGAGGAAAGAAAGACAGAGAGAGGAAATATGTCAGGACAGAGGAAAGAAAGACGGAGAGAGGAAATATGTCAGGACAGAGGAAAGAAAGACGGAGGATAGAAAATATGTAAGGACAGGATAGAGGAAAAGAAGAAGGAGATAGGAAATATGTCAGGAGAGATAAAAGGAAGACGGAGATAGGAAATATGTCAGGAGAGAGGACATAATGACGGAGATTGAAAATATGAGAAGAGACAGGAAAGAAAGACGGAGATAGGAAATATGTCAGGAGAAAGGAAAGAAAGACGGAGAGATCGAGGAAACATGTCAGGAGAGAGGACATAATGACGGAGATTGAAAATATGAGAGGAGACAGGAAAGAAAGACGAGAGAGGAAAGAAGAAAAAAGACGGAGATAGGAAATATGTAAGGAGAGAGGAAAGAAAGACGGAGAGAGAAAAAGAAAGACGGAGAGAGAAAAGAAAGACGGAGATAGGAAAGAAAGACGGAGGAAAGAAAGACGGAGAGAGGAAAGAAAGACGGAGAGTGGAAAGAAAGACGAAGAGAGGAAAGAAAGACGGAGAGAGGAAAGAAAGACGGAGAGAGGAAAAATGACAAGAGAGAGGAAAGAAAGACGAGGGGAGGAGATATCTCAAGAGAGAGCAAAGAAAGACGGAGAGAGGAAAGAAAGACGGGGATAGGAAATCTGTCAGGAGAGAGGAAATAAAGACGGGGATAGGAAATATGTCAGGTGAGTGGAAAGGAAAATGAAGGATAGAAAATACGTCAGGACATAGGAAAGAAAGACGGGGGTATACAGGTAGTAAATATGGCGAGAGAAAGGAAAGAAAGACGGAGTAAATTATGAATAGTTTCATAGACCAACTTTTATTGAAGGACAATTTTGACAATCTAAAATATGTTGCAAACAGTGTGACTTTTCCCAAACTTCAAATTTTAACTTCGAACTGTTCAAAAGAGGCAAGGACCGAACAGTATTTGTAATCTTTCAAGGTTGAAGAAAGGTTGGGAAAAAACTATTTTTCTGGTATGCCTATATAAAAGGGCACGCATATCTCATTCGTCTGGTGCAGGAATTCGAACAGCAGACGGATGAACGACAAAGTGTGTGTGTGTGTGTGTGTGTGTGTGTGTGTGTGTGTGCGTGTGTGTGAGTGTGTGTGTGTCTGCGTGTGTGTGAGTGTGTGTGTGCGCGCGAGTGTGTGTGTGTGCGTGCGGTCCTAGTTATGCAGACAGATGAACGACATTGTGTGTTTGTGTGTGGGTGTGTGTGGGTGGGTGAGTGTGTGTGCACGTGTGTGTGTGTGTGTGTGTGCGTGCTTGTGTGTGTGTGTGTGTGTAAATCTAAATGTTAAATAACGTGAACCCAGACAATGAGAAAATTAGCCGGGTCCTAACATCTGCTTGAGGACTATTCTGATCTACTTTGTAAGACCATACATTATCATGTAGTGTTGCGTTTTGCAATAGTTGTGTCCAATTGCCATAAAAACATGATAATATGATATTTTAACTCACCGGTGATGTCTAAGATGGTCTCCCTGCCACTTCCATCACGACGAGCCCGGTGGATTTTGTTGTTCCAGTCATCTGACCAGTACACGTAGTCCGTGAGCGGGTCGTAGTCCAGGGTTCTGGGCTGTCCTACATCTCCGAGCGGAAGCGTGGTGGTCGATCCGGAAGTGATGTTAACTTGAAGAATGATTTCTCCATCCCAGTCAGCTACCAATAGGAATGGCTCACTGATGTTACTGGAGCCGGGGTCTCCTATTGTGGAGGAAATAACCAGAGTATCAAAACAGATTTTTCAAGACAATCGTGTAATGTCTTAAATTATTATTTACTTTCGTACTTTCAAAAACTATTTGTTCATTTATAACGATCGCCAGGCAATAGGAAGTGAAATATGACGTGCCAATTATGGCGATTTACTGCCACTATTTAGAAACCTGGTCAGATTTAAACTTTCGCTGCCGCATCCTCTTTTTTTTATTTATTCACATATATTTATGAGTATTGGGCAAAAAGCAAAAGTTGCTTATTTAACACCTTCTACTCAAAAACATACAACGAGTATAAAAAACATTGACAATTGCAAGATACATGCATAATTACAAGATGGATAAAACCAAGATAAATACAAGACAAGTTGGTGACTCATCAATTACAAGAATCTGCCCGTACAGTAGATGAAGTTTTGAACTACATCAAAAACATTACGGTTTTGTAGGTGTGAGAGTGATGTGGACCTTCGAAGTAGTAAGGAACATAGGGAACTGTCATTGAGATGCTGCATCTCTACTGTGTTGGAGAGAGATGATAACAGAGTACTTCTTTGTCTGGAATTAAGTTTACAATGTAGAAAGTAGTGCTCAGTTGTTTATGATAGCCACATACACATGCCGCGTACGTGCAGAAAGGGTTCTTAAAAGTTGGTATCGATGACGTCACGCAGTAACGTCAACGGTTCCTCTGGGCAAAAAACATGGGGCGCGTTTTTGTTTCGTCGCTTCAAAGTGAAGGAAGAATACGTCAGATTTTGACCTTGCATAATGATAGACCAGAGTTGTCACTTCCCGAATCAAACTTGTCCGACATCAAACTCTTCACTTTTTCGCCGTGAATGGCCTATTATTAAGCACAACGCCACTCAAATGTGTGAAACACTGAATTCTCACACGTAAGCAAAACACTATCTTGTTGATGCTGTCGTAGCTAGGAGCGAGCAGTTATAAAAAGCGTTACAAAGACGTGTGGAGTACTTACTAGGCTATCTCTGCACACCAACCAAAGAAAAGACGACCCTGATAGCAAGGAGCCTTAATCCGATCAGGTTTCAAACTCGGAATATTAAGTTTCGCCTGAAGTGGGCTTAAAGAAATGTAATTTGGGCATAAAAACTCTAAAAGTATATATAAGTCAAGTTCAGAGGTCGTCTGACATCATAAAACGCAGCACTGTTTGAAAAGTCAGATTTCCTCAGGTTTCCAAGCTTGGACACATTGGTGAAACCTGACGCGTCCTTGTCGTGTACTCGAGAAACCAAAGTACCAAACTCAATACCTACTGCAAAATCAAAACACAATTCTGTACGAAAAACTATCTCTATCTTATCAATCCAAAACAAATCATTCAAACAGCATAACAAAACTTAGGATTAGTGCCTACTCTCTGTAAATTGAAAAAAAATGTAGCTACTGTAACACACCAGCTAATGAGAGACTGTGTCCAACATGCCATAAAGACGTTGAAAACGAATTCTATTTTAGATTGTCGAACTTAGGATGTAGACACTCAAAGGTGTTGCAGTATATTGCATGTAAGACCGATATAACGCTACCTAATACAAATACAGATATTCAATATACTATTATCATGCCCTGTCAATATATCCACTTATGTGGGCCAATTTATATACAATTCGCTGACAAAACGAGATAATGTAATTTATTCCTTATGCAATACCATATTATTGTCAGAATAATTAGATTAGTATCATTAGTGTTTTTATTGTTATATATTAAAGTAGGTCAGCTTCTTAGAAAAGTTAGAACGGTCAACTCTTAGAATGTTAAATATTGTTAATTTAACATCACCAACTTTGTATGTAACTTTGCCAGACGTTGTACCCGTTACAATTGTCGTGCAATAAGGTTCTCTTTGTCCAATGTCGGAAACTCGCGCACACAGTGGGACACGCGAAGTGTACAAGATTTCCCACTGTCCCGTGTACTGACTAATTATCGTCACAATGGAAAGCTGAGAAGTACCTTAATATTCATAAAAGTTATATGTGGCAGTATCCATCCTAAGAAAATAGGATACGCACGGCAATCTATACAAGCAGTTTACTTGGGTTTGTTTACACATGCTGTCCGGTTCTTACCACATCGGAAAGGGGACTTTGCGAATCTGGACTCATACAGAGCAGAATATTTTGCGTCCACACCAGGCTAAACCCGCTAA